GCCAAACAACATCTCGTGCGTGAATGCTCATAGTATTATTGACAAGAGCCAAACATGGAAACAACCCAGCTATCCATCAGGCGATGAGTGGATAAATAAAATGCGATATATCCACACAAGGAACATTCTTCAACAATAAACGAAATGAAATACCGATACACGCTACAGTGTGGATGAACCTTAAAAACATGACGTGAAGTGAAAGCAGTCGCAAAGGGCCGCATATTCTCTGATTCCATTGATATGAAATGTCCAGAACAGGCAAATATATTTAGAGATAGAAAGTAGATTTTTGGTGACCTGGAACTGGGGAGTTGGGGTGAAACGGGGAGTGACTGCTAATGGTTACGGGGTTCTTTTTGGTGTGATGAAAATATTCTAAAATTGATGGTGGTGAGGGTAGCACAACTTTGTAAATATACTAAAAACCACTGACTTGTACACTTTAAGTGGGTGACTCGCACGGTATGTGATTTATATCTCAATAAAGCTGGTATTAAAAAAAAATAACAAACCTTAGAAAAGTTCCTGTTATTTAGGTTCTGCTAAATAGAGGCGTTCTCTGCTAGACTTCCCTAGGGCTTAAAAGAAGGCACGTATCGATGGGAATTAGGGTCACTGTCACCTCTTACTTTTACCAGTAGCCTCACAAAAAACAATGGATCAACCCGTTATCTCCAGAAAGAGCAAAATTATCAGCCAGAAGCCACAGCCAAAAAAGCAACAGCCCTGAGTGTACGTGTGCACACATGTGTGTGTAGGCAAGGCAGAATTTTTCTGAAGGCCAAGTTCAGCTCCGTGATATTATTTGGGGAGGTCACGTGTACATCTGCTTCTGGTTTGTATCTAATTTGAAAAAGCCGACACTGACTGTGTACTCTATTATTAGGCAGTTTTTTCAGTTCTGTGTCTCGGTGCTGCTCTACTCAATTTGTTCAGAGGATGAACTCACTTCTTGACAGATGAAGAACATCCCGCCCCCGGGGTTCTGGCCCAGGAGGGGCAGGCTTCGGTCGTGCCAGCTTTTCCCCTTCTGCACCTCATGTGACCCGAGCCAGGCCACTACTGGGGAAGAGTTCTTACCCCGGGGGGAAGCTTCCTTCTCGACTGCTGGCCTCCTGCAGGTGGAGGAGATGCGGGGGTGATGAGGAAAGGGAAGGAGGCCCACTCTGGCTGGTCCCCTTCCAAGCAAGGCCCCGATGGAGGGGGCCTCCCAAAGGGAACAAAAGGGAGTGAGACAGGAGAGCACACATTCTTCTTTTTCTAAACACAGGCTCGAGATGGACAAAGGGAAAGTTAAATTATGCTGCAATTTTGAAAGTCATCCACTGAAGATAAACTCTCCCTTCAAAGGAATTACTCATCTTACTCCATCGTGGTACTTCGGGGTCTATCAGTATTCAAACTTATTAAGCAACGACATGCAGAATATATAGTACAAAGGGCCCATTTCATCACCCCATTCCTCAAGTTATCTGTTTTTGGCTAAGTCATGAGAAGCCCAGCAACTTAAAAACCAAAACAAAAACTAACAAGCGCGCACAAAGATGGAAAAAAGTCCTCGGTGGAAGTTACTAGGAGGCAGGCAGCTTCAGAAAGGAAAAAACACAATCTCTGACTAATATGAAGGAGACTCCAAATTGCTCTTGGCAACAATCTCTCAACCCCAGATTCCCCTCCCTCTATTCATCTCCACAGTTCCCAGCCAAAGGAAAATAAACTGAACAGCTCTCTCCCTGGCCCAACCTGTAGGGCTGCACGGCTGAGCAAGCGCTGAGCAAACAGACATCCCCATGCAATTATCCACCTGTGCAATCGCTGTAAACATGGGGCAGCCAGGCGGGGGCTCACCGCTCTGATCAGGCCGGTCATCTCAATATTAGGAGAATGCCTTTATTCTGTCACCACGACATCAAAATGGAATACAATGTGATCTTGTGACCTCAAAGCCAAGAGATTTAAAAAAAAAGAAAAGAAAGAAAAGAAAAAAAAAAGAAACAAAGAAGAAAGGAAGAGGAAAATCGTCCTCCCCAGAAGAGTTGGTGTCAGTTCTGAAGAAGTAAGCCCGCAGAACATCCCTCAGATGGGCTTAGCTTCAAGGCAAGATTTATCAGTTCACCTTCCTCACAAAAGTGAGAGTTAATTTTAGAGGCAGTTATCTTACACCTATTATACCATTCAAGATGGAAGGAGAGTTAACAGGCCAAATGTCCTGAAATATTTATGGCCGCTCTGTGTCAAAGATTCATCTGACACCGTTTTATTAGGACAGATATGTCTGTTCAGCTAAAGCAGAGATGGACAGGAGCATCAGGGAATGGCATTGTGAGTGGAGATATAGCGGATGGAACACCATCTTTTCAGTTGAGTCCTGAAACACCCTGGCAGGCGGGGGTGAGCTGCTCTGAGAGCTATGGACAGTCAAGAGACCTGGGTTCTAGTGCTGGCTTCACTACCAAGTCCTGTGAACACGGACCAACTTCCCCAACGGTAGGATGAGGGGCTTGGAGCTGCAGCTCCGGCCCTGAGAGTATGGAAGGTGCCATCGCAGCCGCTGAGGAACGAGGGTGGGGACCGGGAGTGACGCTCTTGGGGCAGCTCTCAGCCTGGCTGGCACTGCTGCAGAGAGGCATCAGTCCTCCTAGAGGCTGCATGGGGTCTTGTCCTCTCCAGTTTCGATGCCCAAAACTAAAGGCTCATCTTAGAACCCACGGCTGTAAGCCAGTAATCTGAACAGCAGGGGCTCAAACAGCTTCCTAGGCACTGTGTGCACTCCAGGGACCAGTCCTCATGACTGCAGCATGGGGACACTCACCATTCCAACTGCCCACCCCTCATCTTCTCCCAGCCCCCCTGCTGCCTCTCCTCCTTCATGGCCATGCTTCTGTAGCACCTTCCCACACACTGTCTCATTTCATTCACTCAATAGTCACTGAAGGATGTACTGTTACAATTACTATTCCCATTGACAGAGGCCAGGGACCAGGTCAGATTTCACTTACTAATGTATGCCAACACTTAGCATGGTGCTTGGAATCACACATTAGACAATATGACAGTTGTCGAATAAATGATTGACTGATTGAGTGGAAAGAAACTCAGGTTCAAGAAGGTTAGCATGGGATGTAACACATACTATTTTGCACAATAATTATACCAGAGCGATGGAGTCCTGTCTCCTCAACTAAAATGAAACATTCTAAAAGATGGGTGGTATAATGGGTAGCTTGGATTCCTGGTTCTGTCGCTAAGTAGTTGGGCAGCTTACTTAACCCCTTTGAGCTTCAGTTTCCTCACCTGCAGAGTGGAGCTAATGATTCATATCTGATGGGTTGTGTGGGTTAGAGGAGATAAAGTATGCCAAGCACAGTACCTGGCATGGTAGATGGTCTCTGAATGTCCCATCCCTCTCTTCCCTGCCCGTACTCTCTTTGGCTTATCTCCCACAGCTGACACGGCAGGATAAGCCTCGAGTTCTATGACCTCCGGGCCTTTGCTCGTTTGGTCTTCCTCCCTCAGGGTCCTGCCCCAAAGCCTCCTCTTATTTTAAGCCTTTGTAGACCTTTGGCTGCTAAAGTGCCTCTTCTCAGATCCCAAAATGGCTCTCCCAGTTGTCTCTCAAGGAAAAGTTGATTCAGGGAAGGGCCCAGTGTGTAGCTTGTGTCTCTTTTGACTTGTTAGAAGAGATCTGGAGATCTATCCAGAGGAGGTCCCTGAACCCTTCTAATTCCTAGGATTTAACTGGGTGACGGAGTGGAGCTGAAACTTGAACCTGGCAGGACCTTTGCCCTTCCTATCCCTCCCCTTCCACAAAAACTTCTATGACTGGAGAAAACTGCCTGATTGTTTCAACCACTTCCTTTACTTGTTCATATTCCTGCATTTGGAGGGATTGTAAGGGGTATGCCACCCGTCGCCCAATGAATCGCGGGAATGAGGCTGCCTCCTGTGCAGAGCCCAGTACCAGGGGTTAAAAGAAAAAGGGCAGCCGTCCCCGGCCCACCGTCCACAGCCGGGACAACAGAAGCCAGAAACCAGCACGACCAAACCCGACGACCCACGGAGCCCTGACCACAGACAGGAAGAAAACTGCACCCGCTCGACCCTCAGCGCCGGGGTGTGTGTGTGTGTGGGGGGGATGTGTGTGTGCAGGCTCTTTCCTGAGTCCCTCCCAGGCCAGCCCGCGGCCGCTACGGGTACCCAGGGAACCCGGCGGTCGCGAGGGCGACGCGGGTTGGGGCGCGCGGAGCCGGCCCGTCCCACCCGGACCCGGCCGCCTCTGGAGCTCCGGGACCCGGGCTTGGCTCCCCCGCCCACCCCCGCCCAGGTCAGGGCACAGGGAAGGGTCCCCACCCACCCGGTTCTGCTGGCGATTCTGCCCGGGACGGCGACGGGATTCCCTCCGGCTCGCCCAGCGACTTGTGCCAATCCCCCTTTCATTCCTGCCCCTGTCCTGACTTCTGCCAGGAGTTACCTTGGCTTTCTCCCTGCCCCCGCCCCAAAGTTTTGCATCTGACATGGGGGGGGCAAGCTTTTTTGGGGGGAGGGTCTTGAAACTAACAATGTCTATCGACCACCACCTTCCAGAGTGCCCCTCGCACTCTCCGCTGTCCCCTTTCTGCCACTCCAAAACCTGACGCGAGGGCCGCGGGCGCTGAGAACGCGAGCAGAGTTGCTGTATTCCGAGTCCCCGATTCTTTCCTGCGCTGCGCTGGGAGGTAGGCGGCCGCGCGCCCCTGCATTACCGCGGGGGCCCTAGCCCCGCTTTCCCCAGCACGCTCGTTTCCAGCCCAGGCGCGGCTTTGAAATTCCTCGCGGACGCCGCCACTCACGCCCGGCGAGGGCCAGTCCGAGCCGCCACCCGGGCCAGGCGTCCCCGCAGTGCCCGGAGAGGGGATGCAGCCGCTGGGCGCCTCCTCCCCACCCCCGCCTCCACGGCCGCCTGCCCGGAGCCCCGAGCCCATCCCAGCCCACTCCGGCCGAGGCCGCCGCAGACCCACCTGGCCGCCCCGGGGACGCCGCTCGTGCCCGGGTCGTGTCCTGAGCGCCGCCAGGGTCCCGGGCTGGGAATCCACGCGGCAGCGCAGCTCAGGGGAGCCTGCCGCAGCCGGCGGGAGGTTGTCATTGATTCGTGCTGGGCGAGTTAAGCCATTCCAGGAGTGGTTTTGAGAGAGCACTCCCACCCCTCCCTCCAACCAGAAGTATTTGGCAGGCAGCCCCTTTTTGTCCACCTGTAGTGTTCAGCGCGGGACAAGGACCACTTTCACTAGCCGCGCTTTACGCCTCACTTTCTAATACGAAAAGTAAGCCCCTTCGTAAAGGTAAAGCAGAAATGAAAGCAAGGGTAGTGGAGGAGCTTTTCCCCCACTTTTCTCCTGGATCTCTCGTTTGTTTATTTTTTCTCTAACATTTCACAAAATGCCTTACCATTTATGTCAAATCAGGGATGGCTTTTCATTGTTATTGTTTTTTTCTCCAATTCTGCATGTCTTTTATTTTTAGAGGCAATTTTATTTCCATTTGCCTGAAACCTGAGCCCAATAAAATTACTAGAATTATATGTTTTCTCTTTAAAGGGTCGTGAGTGTAACTTATCAAATAAAACACTGCACAGCAAGCATTCAAGTGGCAAATGAAAAGGAGGGAAGTGCAGGAAGTAAGCACAGAACCGTGGCTCCCTCCACGGGGTTGCCCAGGGAACTTGGCCCAGAGGGAGTCCTGAAGCCTGAAGTGGGAGCACCTACTGCCCTATTCTCCCCAACGACAAACACACTATCACCAGGCTGTCCCTGGCTTTGTCGCCATTCTAAGACTGACTCAGAAATGCCAACCAGAGACCCAACAGTCCACATTTGGGGTGGGCCAGCCACCAATCCCAGAGAGGTGTGGCGGAGCACCCTTGCCCAAGCTGTTCCTTGAAACCGCACACCACGCCCACAGGAGCTCGGAGGCTCCTGCTGCTGTCAGACCTTTTACCCAGAACTGCCCTTCACCTGGGGGGAACCTTCACTAACTCCTGGGTACCTAGGCTGGTGGTTCTCAGAAAGCAGGGAGGAGCCAGGGAGGGAGGGTCCTTCTTCCCTGGAGACCAGCTGCCTGGTGTGTGATGGAGACTCAGCTCAAAACAAATGAGACCAATGAGAGACCTGGCCCTCCATGGCCTCTGCCACTCTTCACCGGCAGGCCACAAACATTAAAGCATCCCAGGGCCAGAGGTAAATCCCAAAGGCCCATCAGTCTATGAAGGCCCAGGATGGGGCTGAGGTTGGCAGAACCCCAGGAAGATGGTTCACACTTCAATTTATCTCTTCCAACAGGTGCCCCCTGCCTGAAATCCCAGTGTTAATGATTCATTCCTTGGTGGGGCACGCCCTGCACAGAGCCTGCGCCAGGCAGGCAGATTTGCTTCAGGAAGGCAGGAAGGGTCTCCTTCTGTAGTTCTAAAATTGAAAAATACCCATGGGTCAGGGGCAAGAGTCTCCACAAGGGGCTGGAAGGAGTTTGTCAGACCTTCTTGTTATGGTGGGAGGGTCACTGATGGCAGC